AAAAAATTAAAAAAAAAATTAAAAAGGGCAAAATTGTCTTTTGCGGGTGCGGTATTTAGCAACACCCTTCTTTTTCTGTCAGGAATTACCTATTTTCGACTCGTTCTATGTTTTTCACACTACTAATTATAATTCAGCTAATAATTTCACACCGTTAAGCACGAAATAAAAAATGAACATAATAGATAAAGTACGAAATAATTATGTGATAAGTTATGAAACAGATTGACAAAGTTAATTGAATAAGTTCGAAATAATTATATGATGTTATGCGACAGATAAGCGAAGTTAATTAAGTAGTAGCGAAATAATTATGCGATATATAACGACGAATATGCAAGGATCCGTGTGAACAATTCATTCAATCGTACGTTTGTCGCATTCTGGTCACAGATCAATTTATTTTAAATAACTACTCTTGCATGCAAATGAATCCGCGACATTTATGTGAATCTCTTCCAGTTTGTCCGCCTCTTGTTTTTCCTACACTAGCCGGTTGTCAGTGTCTTGCAGCTTCTTGCATTAGTTTTTACATTTGTTCAGTTTCTCCTCAACTAGTACGAATCCCGTGCGATGCACGGGTAGGAGATATTAATCAATATTTTTATGTTAAAAATTATCATTAAATAATATTTATAAATTAGATACATAGAATCAATATGTAATACAATGTACCAATATAATTTATTGAAAATGTCATATAAAATTTAAATTATGCAAATTGATAAAAATGTCTCTTTAAAATTAGTACACATCCCGTGCGTTGTACATAACTAATAATAAATTATATTATATTCATTTCAAAATATGTGTTATTTTAAAATTTTATTAAGAAATTCGATTTGACTATAACGTGTTCCAAGGCCACTTCCTTTCTTTTTGTCCAAGTCACTCCTAGTGACAAACTCCTACGTTCTTTTTATTACGGTATATTTGGCGAAGTGCATGGTTAACCCGTATTTTAAAGATGAAGAGTATTTTGAGGAGGATTTTGGTTTGGACAGAATTTGAAATCATTGGGTTTAGACAATAGCCAAGATCATTCAGAAAACGGATTCCTATTCGAAAAGTGTGACAAAAGTATTCGGTTATTGGGGAAAAATCTATAAATAATTATTTTGGTAAAATTTTATCATATATTTAAAAGCCTATGTGAATTATAAGTATAAATATGAAACTTATATTGTTTAATTAATTAAAATGAATTTACTTTTGTATAAAATATCCAAATAACAAATTTAAGTAGTTGAATAAAAACAATCAGTCATAAGATTTTTTATGCCAAAAAAATCGACATTCTTTATCATGCTAAAAAATGAACAGTGCATTTCACGGAAAAATTATTTGAAATGTCGTAACAAAAAATAAACTAAATCAAGACCCACTAATTATACAAAAAAATAAAATGAACAGGGCTTTTTCTATAAAAAAAATATATTTATACACACACATTATATCAAAATATCAGTTTATATTATTTTGTCGGAGTTACGGTAATTTAATTATGTTAATTTCATACAAAAAATAGAAATAAAAATTGAAACCCATGCCTAAAAACCAACATATTAGCCTGCGCATTACAGAAAAAAGTACACCGTATATTGATTAATTTTTCAACAAATTTACTACAAAAAAACAGTTATCAAATAAACAAATTAAATAAATTTGCTCACTTTATACCATATATTGATTAATTTATTTCTCATAGAAACAACCATCAATACTAAAAATAAATTTGTCCACTATATACCATATATTAATTAATTCACATGATTTGAGTAATTAAGGTATATTAAAATATGACTTAATTACTTCTTTAAATAATGAGCAGCAATTTTCATAAGTGATCATTTGAAATATACCATAAATTGTTAAATTTATTTCCCGGAATAGTAAATAATTTTTTTTGGAGAGAAATAGTTACTATTTAAAAAATAATCAAAACTTTATATATTGTTTCTTACCATTTGATTATTTCTTTAGGCCTCGTTTACATCATAAGATAGTCGAATATAAGATTAATTATCATAAGTTATCTTATGTTTCCTTTGCATGTTTTCAGCCCGTTGAGTTATGTTGGGCCCGATTACATTTTAGCTTTATCTTGATTTAGTGTATATTATAATTGCGGAAAATACTACTGTTTGGTTATAGTTACGGAACTGTTTCGTTGAATTTTTAATAGTAGATTATTCCACCCCAATTGGCCAGATATTTATATCTGTCCTTTTTATGAGTTTTAAGTGCCGAAAATGGCACTAAAATATCATGTAAACTACCAAAATAAACCTTGTATCAACCTAAATTTACAAATTTGTACAAATATAAGAAATGTTTTCTCCTAAAACTCGTCCCCGTCCTCTTCTTCTTCGACGATCATGAAAATTGAATGTCACCTTCTTCTCCCGTTAGAATTTAGACACTTCACAACCTAATTGCTTAGTTAATTTTTTAAAAAAAAATTATTCTTTCATGGAACTCCAGACGTCGGGGTGAGCCGGCATGTCGGGATGATGAGGAAGAAGAAATCGAAGCGA